CGACATGAGGACACCCCGACATGGGGACACCCTGACACAGGGACAGCCCAACATGGGGACACCCCGACATGGGGACACCCCGACATAGGGACACCCCATCGTGGGGACACCTCAGTGTGGGGACACCCCAGTGCAGGGACATCCCACTGCAAGGATATCCCGACACAGGGATATCCTTACATGGGGACACCCCAGTGCGGGGACTCCCTGGCATGGGGACACCCTGGCATGGGGACATCGYGACACGGGGACACCCTGACACRGGGACACCCYRRCACGGGGACACCCCATCACGGGGCCACCCCACCATGTGGACGCCGCGGTGCCCACCTGGAAGATGCTGTACATGAGGACGGTGAGCGGGCGGTTGCCCGAGTACTCGGCAATCTTGAACACGTCCAGGCCCCACTTGTTCGTGTCCTCCAGCTCCTAGGGGCCCAAAGGCACYGGGTCGGTGGTGGCAGCCGGCGCGYGGGGACRCCGCGGTGCCACCGGCGCTCACCTTGGCCAGCAGCGCCTCGTGGGCCGTGCGGACGCCGAAGCGGGGCACGGCGGCGGCGGCGGCGAGGCTGGAGCCGTGYGCCAGCTTCCTCACGCCGCTGATCTGCGACATGGGCCGCTTCCTGTCCCTGTCCTTGGGCAGCGCCGCGGGGATCTCCACCTCATGCTGCTTGTCTGCGCGGCGCCGCGAGCGGGCGGTGAGCGCGGCGCCGTGCCGGGGACCCCCGCACCTGGCCCGTGACGTCAGCCGGCGCTAAGGATGCCATGGCAACGGGAGGAACGTGGTGCTGTCCCTCGGCCCCGGCGTGCGGGGACCCGGCTGCTGCGGCCCCCCGCGGGATGGGCCCCCCGAGTGTCGTGTTCCCAAGGGGTGGCAAAGTCTGGGGGTGGCRATGCCAGCGCCGGTGCTGGCTGGTGGCCCTTGCAGCAGCGTGCACAGGCGTGCACAAGGATGCAGGAGCATGCACACGTGAGTACAAGCTTGCAGAAGTGAGCACAAGGATGCACAAGTGAGCACAGGCATGCACAAGGATKCAGAAGTGAATGCAAACATGCAGAAGCATGCAGAAGTGAGCACAAGCATGGAAAAGCGAGTGCAAGCATGCACAAGTGAGCAAAAGCATTTACAAGCATGCAAAAGCAAGCACAGGCATGCAGAAGCATGCACAAGTGAGCACAGACATGGAAAAGTGAGTGCAAGCATGCACAAGTGAGCAAAAGCATGCAAAAGCAAGCAGAAGCATGCAGAAGCATGCAGAAGCAAGCACAAACATGCACCTGCATGCACCAGCATGCACCAAAGCACTCCAGCATTCACCCCCATTGCGGAATGTAGCGCATGCCGAAGGCCTTTGCACCGCCAAAGTCCCCAAGCCCACGCAAGAGCCCCCAGCCCCGCTCCGTGTCCCGGACGTGCGCGGCGCCGGCGCGCTCACCCAGGAAGGTCCTGGAGATGTACTCGGACACCTGGTTCCCTGAGCGGCTCGTCTCCGAGAGGTGCGACAGCTCCCGGTTCAGCATCCGCTTGAACTGCACGGGCGACGGTGGCTCCGTCACCCGCGGCCCCGGCGCGGCCGCTCGCCCCTCGGAGCATCACCCCGAGGCGCCCACCTCGCCCCCGCGGGCGCAATCACCTTGTTGGAGGCCATCTCGCTGACCGAGTGCCTGGTCTGCAGCGTCTGCAGCTGCTCCAGGCACCAGTCGAGCTCCTCCAGCGTCTCCAGCGAGAGCTTCTGGGCGGCATCGTCTGCGGAGGGCGACGGCGGCCGCCTCGGCAAGCGCTCGGCCCGGCCGCGCGCCCCGGAGCGCCCGGCGGCGCCGCCGGCTCCCCGCGCCAGCCGGGCTCGCGGGCACAGGCTGCAAAGCGCCGCTGCGAGCGCCCGGCTGCAGGCCGAGCATCCCCGCGTGCTCCGGGGCATCCAGCCCCGCGTCCGGGGCTGGGAAGCGGGAGCCGGCCGGGCCGGAGCAGCCGGCTMCCACGGGGACCCCGCCGCTCGCACCCGCGCTTTTATTAATGGAAGCTTTGACGTCAAGGGGAGACTCTCCGCAGCGGGAAGGGAGCCGGAGAAAACCCGTCATGGATCCCTGGGGGCAAAGAGGCCCCGGTGGCCACCCCGCCGGCTTGTCCCTTGGCACCRGGGCCGTGGCGTGGGGACGGCATCGGGGCGGGGGACACTCACCGGACAGGGTGGCCTTGCTCGCCGCGGTCAGGCTGCTGCTGCTGGAAGCTCTCCTGCAAAACACGGCGCCGCTGAGCGCTGCGGGGAACCCTGCCACCCGCCGCGTCCCCGCCGCGTCCGCAGCGCTCACTTGGAGGAGCCGGGGCGCTCGTGCGGGCGCGAGAGCAGCGCCACGTTGCTGCGCACCGTGCGCAGGCTGGCCAGCACCTGCGGGGCCGAGAGCGCCGCTGCTGCGGCCGCGCTGCGGGCGCCCACGCGCGCCCCGCCGGCGCCCGCCGCCCCGCGCTACCTGTGCGAAGGGCGTCACGATGAGGTCCTCGCCGTGCCTGCGGGCGCGAGGGCGGCGTCAGCGGGGTGGGCACCCCGCCGTGGGAGGGATGGGGATTCGGGGGGGGCGTGCGGGGGGGCTCACAGGTCGCTGGCGATGGAGGAGTTGCGGGACATGGCCTTTGGGGACAGGTCGTAGTCGCTGTCGGAGCGGTAGAGGAAGGACTCGCGGCGCTGGCCGTGCGCGAAGGTGCCCTGCAGCACCAGCCCYGAGGCCGGGCCGGCCTGCGGCTCCAGCGCCGCCCTGCCCGCCRGGCCATTGTCCAGGTCGAAGCTGTGCGGGGAGAGGGGACAGGGCTGGGAACGGCTCTGGGATCCGGGATTCTGCCTCAGGAATCCGGGATTCTGCCCCAGGAGTCCGAGATCCTTCCTCAAGAGTCTGGAATCCTGCTGTAGGAGCCTAGGATCCTGCCCCAGAGATCCAGGATCCTGTCCCAGGAGTCTGGGATCCTGCCCTGGGGGTCTGGCACCTGCTCCAGGGAGCCGGGACCCACTGTCCACCCAGGAGTCCGGCACGGGGCTGCTGAGACCCGACACAGCTCAATGCACAGATGCGAGCACCGCTGAGACCAGGCACAGCTCGACACACAGGTACAAGCACTGCTGAGACCTGCCAGAGCTCGACACACAGGTGCCAGCGCCACTGACACTGGGCACAGCTCAACACATAGGTGCCGGCATCCCCTGGGAATCTCCCGGAGCCGGAGCCCAGGCAGCGCCCCCCTGCCAGGCCTGCGCGGTGTCACTGGGGATGTGCCCGCAAGGGACCCCCTGCATCCCGATGCCACCTGCCCGTGACACCCAGGAGCATCCCGAGCTCCCGCTCTCTTCCCCTCCCATCAACATCCCGGCTTCCCGGCATCTCCGCGCTCCGGAATACTTCCCCTTCTCCCCCTTGCAGCCCCCGTGCCCCCGGTTGGGCCTGTCCCGGTACCCACCCGGTGCAGGAGTGCCGGCGGCGCAGCACGTGGCCCTCGGTGCCCCGCTTCATGGCACCGTCCCCGCCGGGCGCAGCGCGACTGGCACCGGCACCACCGTGCCCGTCACCGCGTCACGGCCCGGCCCCGCCGCCGCCGCGGGCACAAAGCCCCATTGTGGCTCCCGCCGGCCYGGCGCTCAATTACGGGTCTGTTCCCCCCGGCCCGGTGCCACCCCAGGCCCCTTCGGCTGCCGCTGCCCCCCCGGAGGCTCCTTGCAGGATTAAAGCGGTGCCAACAGCGACGCTCCCGGCACGGGGGGTCTCCCCATCCCTCCATCCGTGCCAGGCGGCCCCGTGCTCCCGTCCCTGCGGGCTGGCTGTGCAAGGTGTCCCCAGCGGTCACCACTGCCACCCAGGCCGCGTCACGGGGGACGGTGACGTTGCCGTCCCCGGGCCCCCATTGCCCCCAGCCACGGCCTGGCTGCAACGCGGGTGGGCAGCAAGCGCTGAGGCCATCCCTGTGACGAAGGCGCCCGTCCTCAGCCCGTGTCCCCGCCGCTTACCCCGCCACGGTGAAGCGGCGCCGCGGGCGCCCGTTGCGGCTCATGAGGAGCCTCCGCAGGGCAGTGACGGGGCGGGGGGGGGCAGCGTGGCGCCCGCTGCACTGGGGGCCCCGGCGTCCGGCGGGGGGGGCCGCGCCAGGCCGGCACGGGAAGCGCCTCGTGATTCCCGGGAAACTTTCCATTCCCGCCCTCCTCCCCCCTCCCTACTCTGTGCCTGGGAAATTGAACAACTGTCCGGCCTGGCCCAACACGGAGCTGAGCCTGGATGTGCTGCGGAGAGGGGGACACGGCTGGACGAGGCACGTGGCACCGCGTTGGCCGGCAAGGACAGGGACGTGTTGGAGAAGGGACATGGGGACAGGCCCCCAAATGTCCCCTCCGGGAGCGGCCCGGGCGAGCGGGGCAGCCGCAGGGACAAGGAACCGGGACGGGTGTCGCGGGGAGCCCTGGCCGTGGGAGCCGGGCGCCCGGCCCGGCCCCGTGTCCTTCCAATGCAACCAGATCCCTGCCGTTCCCTCCGGCTGCAAAAATAACCCGCGGCTGGCGGGGGCCCAGGCGTCCGGGTCACTGCCAAGGCTGGGGGTGGGGGGGGGGAGCTCCGGGGTCTCCCCCAAGGCCGGTGGGAGCAGCGGGATGGGGGGGGGCTGCAGTAGGTGCTCTCCATGCTCTGCCAAGTGACCCTGGACACCCACAGCCCGGAGCACAGGGGCAGGGACGATGGGGACATTGGCACGTGGGGCCCTTGGGGACACCGGTGCCGAAGGCCAGGCCGTCCCTGGCAGCTGCGTGGCAGCCAGGACCCCCCGGGGGGCAGCACAGTCTGTCCCCGGGCCCCCCATGGGGACATGTGTGGTGACCACTGGTGACACAGGAGCCGGGACACAGTGTGGCCCTGTCATCCCTCACACCAGGCCAGGACGGTCCCGGGGGGAGGAACGAGCAGCCTAAAAACACCAGCGGGCGGTGGCGAGGCCGGAGGCCCCGTGCCCGGCACGAGGGGGCTCTGGGGACGGGCSCCAAGGGGCCCTCGCAGGTCCCACCAGTGTCCCCTGCCAGTGGCACCGACCCCCAAGTCCCCACGGGCCCCGAGCTGGGGGCACCGCAAGGGTGGGAGCCCAGAGCAAGGGCCCCCCCCCGGCGAGTCACCCCCGGCCCTCCGGTCCCGGTCCCGGTGCCGTGGCCGCAGCCCGGGGGCCGCTCGGGGGCGGCGCGGAGCCCGCGCGGGGCCGCTGTCCGCCCGCCGGTGCTGAACGGGCCGGTGCCGAACGGGCCGGTGCCGAACGAACGGGCCGGTGCTGGAGGTGCCGCCGCGCTTACCGGGCCGGCTCGGACTCCTCGCCGCTGCTCGTGCCGCTCTCCTCGATGGTGAAGACGACGCGGGCGCCGTCGGGGTCGGGGCCGCGCGCGGGCTCTGCGGGGCGGCCGCTCGGCGGCGGCGCCAAGGGGCTCCCGGAGAGGCGGCGGCGGCGGCGTCGCGGCCGCGCTGCGGGCACAGCGCGCCGCCTGAGCCCGGTACCGGCCGGAGCTCTCCAGGGTGCTGTGCGGCCGCGCTCCGCTCCGCCCCGGCGCGGCGGCGGCTGCCCCGGCCACGGGCACCGGGAGAGGCGCTTGGAGAGAACCGAGGAACCGAACCGGGAGAACCGGGTCCCTCCCCGGGAGCGGCCGCGAAGCCGGGACCGCACAGACCTCCCCCTCATCCCCCCAAACCGGATCCGCGACCCCCGCTGCAAACGGCCCCTTCCGTCGGGGAGCGACCCCCGTTCCGCGCGCTCCTACCGGGAGCCGGTAGCGAACGGGAGCCCCCTGGCGGGCTCGGGGCCTCCCTGCAGCCCGGGGGGACACCGCGGCGGGGGGAGACCCGGGACCCCCCCGCTCCCGAGCGGGGACCCGGTAGGGACCGCGGAGCCTCCGCGGGGGCCGCGCGAGGTCGGAGGGCCGGGGAGGGGGAACACGGGGGTCCTGGGGGCKGCTGAGCCCCCTCCCAGCCCCCCCAACCGCGCGCAGTGGAAAAACCCCCCAGCACCGTCGTGCTTACGCAGAGCCTAATAATAATTAACCACCCATTAGGAGGATAATTAACTGCCGCTGCTCTGCCGTCACTGCGGTTACTGYTGCCCTCAGGCGCGAGGGTCCCCGGGCCCTCCTCGGCGCCCCGGTGTGTTCCCCTTAACCAGGGGAGCCCCCACATGAAGTGACCGCGATGGGGACCAGGACGGGACCGGGACGGGGGTCACGCTCACCTCAGCGCTCAGGACGGGCAGCGCCGTCCGGCTCCGTCGCATGGTGCTGCCTGCGGCCGGGCGCCTGCGGGACACTCGGCTCAGCCCCGGTGGGTGCRGGCGACGCTGCCACCCACCCCCTGCGCCCCCGCGCGCTGCCCGGAGCCCCCCGGGACACCCCTTTGTGTCCTGTTGCGTCGGTGGCTGCGGGTCTGGCTGGGTGTCTGTGTCTCCTGGCGCATTTCTCTCCCGCTGCTGATTTACGGGCGCTGGGGCTGCTGCTGGGCCGCCCAGCGCCCCCCCTCGCCCCCATCCTTGGGTTTCCTGCCCGGGGAATCCGTGCTGGGGGAGTGGAGCCGCGTGGGAGCCCCCAGGCCCGGGAATATGAGGATGGGCTTGGGGACGGGACCCGCTTCCCCAGGCTGGAGCATCCGCCAGGCCACAGACCCCCCCCGGCCCCTTGTTAATGATCGACCCGAGGCCCCTGCTACCCACACACTGSGGGGCTCGTGGTCCCCCCAGCTCAGGCAGCCCCTGCAGCCGCTCCAGGAGCCTTTTCCAGCCCTTCCCAGCCTGGAACCCGCCCCGTTTCCCATGCCGAGCCCCTGGGTGCTCCCAAAGGAGCAGCAGCAGCAGCTCAGGGCAGCGCAGGCTGCACAGCCAGGGCGGGGGCCAGTCCCGTAGCAGSTGGGGGCCCCATCTCCCCCCTAAAATGTCCCCCCGCAGCCCCCAACCGCGGTCCCCGGCCCGGCCGCCCCCGTTACCGGCAGCCGGTCGGCGGCGCCTGCAGCGAGTGCAGCGGAGCAGAAGGAAGGCGACGTGCGTGCCGGCCCGCGCGCCCGCCCTGCGCCGCTGCCGCCGCTGCTCCGCACCGGGCGCCCCCCCGGCTGCCACCGCCTTCGACCCCGCGCTGGGGGCCGGTGGAGGCGGAGASGGAGAGGAGAGGGGCTGCAGGGGGAGATGCTGGGGGTGCTCCAGCCACCCCGGGGCTCCTGGACCCAGGAGGGAGCAGGAACCTGGGGAGGGGGATCCTGGGCATGGCGGGGTCCGGGAAGGCTGGGGAGGGGGGAGGTCCTGGACATGAGGTGGCCCAGGAAGGCTGGGGGGGTCGGGCAGGAGAGGGGGATGCAAGAGGCTCGGAAAACGGAGAATCTTCCCATGCAGCAGCAACTTTATTGCCCGTCCGGCGCATCCGCAGCACATGTGGGTGCCTGGGAGCCACCAGGTCACCTGGGCGGGTGGTGGGCGATGGGGGACCCTTCCGTCACCTTCCCCTGCGGAGCAGAGAGCGGAGGGGTGAAGGGAGCACCCCAGGGACACGGTCCCAAGGGCCACCCCCCCGGCAGCGCCTGCCACGCACCAGGGGCACCTCGTCGAGGCGCTGGAAACGGGGCCGCCCGCGGCGCCAGYGCCGCACGAGCAGCACGGCCGCCGCCGCCACCAGCGCCGCCACCAAGAGGCTGATGACGACGGCCAGGCCGCCCCTGGCCCCGGCGGGGGGACGCGCTGCGGAGGCGGAGGTGACACGGTGGCCGTCGCCACACGGGCCCCCGCGCCGGTTGGGGCCGCGCGCGGCCGCGCTCAGCGGGGAGCAGCGGTTCTGCGCCCCGGTGCACGAGTGCCGCGACGTCCCCTACCTGCGGTGGCCACGGTGGCCGCGTGCGACGGGGGAGCTGGAAGAGCAAGGAGGAGCGTTAACACGGGGGGGCCCTGGAGACCTGMACCCCGTGATACCCAGCTCGGGGACGGAGCCCTGGGTGCTGCCCCACATGGGTCCYGGCCCCGCTCTCACCCGAGCTGCCCCTCGGGGCGGCCGCGGGGCTCTCGGGGCCGGGGCTCACGGCTGGTGGCCGAGAATGGGCAGCGGGAGGGGACTCCAGGTGCTCGGGAGGAGATGGAGGTGACGCTGGGGGTGAGATGGATGGAGGCACCGGGGGCGTCTTGGCGGGAGACGATGCTGTGGACGAGATGGACGGAGCCACCAGGGATGTCTTGGGTGCAGGTGATGCTGTGGACGAGATGGACGGAGCCACCAGGGACGTCTTGGGTGGAGATGATTCTCTGGACAGGACGGATGGGGCCACCGAGGATGTCTTGGTGTGAGATAATGCTGTGGACGAGATAGATGGAGGTACCAGGGATGTCTTGTCGGGAGATGATGTTCTAGATGAGATGGATGGAGGTACCGGGGATGTGTTGGGTGCAGATGACGCTGTGGGCAGGACAGATGGAGGTACCGGGGATGTCTTGTCGGGAGATGATGCTCTAGATGAGATGGATGGAGGTACCGGGGATGTCTTGGGTGCAGATGACGCTGTGGACAGGATGGATGGAGGCTGCGTGGCCTCCCCGTGTGGATAGGATGCCTTGGCCAAGCCGTGTGGCGGGGACGCCGACGTCAAGCTGGAGAGAGGCTCCATCCTAGATGGAGAGGACGCCGAGGACAAGCCCGATGGAGGCACCGAGGACACATTAGCGGATCCTGGAGAGAGGGGCAGAGAAGCCCCTTGAAGCTYATGCAAGGGAAAGGCCCCTGGAGTGACCGCCTGCACCGGGACAGGCCACGGCCACCACCGAGGGGCTGCAGCGTCTCCCARAGCGGGAGACCCGGGACCCTCCGGCCGGGAGAAGAGGCGGCTCCAGGAATCTGCTCCCTGGGGACATTCCTGGGGCAGCGCAGCAGGAACGCGCCGGCTGCTGGGACACCCCGCGCCCCGGAGGAGGCCCCGCGCGAGGTGCCACCAGCGCCAATAACGCCCTTCTCCACCCAAATCCTGTTTGCAGGACGGTGGCCAGCGCAGCCCAGCCCAGCGCGGAGTGGAGCCAAAGGGCCCTGGCGACCGGCCAGCGCCCGGCACAGCCAACAGGATCCCCCCGGAGCCAGGCGGGGGACATTCCCGTCCAACGCTCCGTCACGGCGAGGGTTTCCTTGGCCTCCCCGAAGGTTTCCTTGGCCTCCCCGTGGGCGCAGACTTTGTCCTCCTGCTCCCCTCCCTGGTCGCYGACATGGGAGGCTCCTTGCTGTGGATCCGGCCTCCTCCATGAGCCCATTCCCGATCCCTAACGCGGCCTCTCCATTGAGGCTGAGCCGGGGAAGCGGCGGCTGCATCAAGCGGTGGCTGCAGGGGCAGCGCCAGGAGCATCCTGTGTCCCCGGGGAGGCGCAGGGTCCTCGGTGGCACCGGGCGCTGCTCCGGAGCTCATCCCGGAGCCAGGAGCCGCCCTGGCTCATCCCGGAGCCAGGAGCTGCTCCGCGGCCGGGGCTTTTAAGTGGGAGCCCGTGCGGCT